CACTGAATGCACTAGTATAAGAAAAAAAATTTTTATTATTATTTCTAGATACACTTTTATATAAGTTAATCTTTTTATAAATCAGAAAACCAGGGTAGTTTCTTTTAAAATTTATTAAGCGAGTAGTGTCTCAACCTCCGCCGTGCTGCATTCTTCCTCACTAAGCAGTTCTTCGTATTCTTCACTCAATTCTTCCAAATCACCGTAACTTGCTCCATCCTCACTGGATACAACTTCCAATTCCTCACTAAGAACTTCACCTTGTCCTTGGCTATTGACTTCACTTGGTTCATCGTCACTAAAGATATCAAGTTCCTCACTGGAAATCACATCCAAAACCTCACTGTTATCTTCACTTGGAATGTCTTCTACTGTCTCCTCAAAACCGGGCTGATCTAATTCTTCACTAGGTTCCAACTCCTCACTTGTCAGTTCCTCGAACCCTGGGAGAGTATGTCAAAATTTAAATCATGGCTCAGAAAAATTTAAACTATAATCACCCTCAATTAAATTATACTTCCCTTCAAAAACACACTTTTCTTTGGTCTGAAAACCATAATATTAAACTTTTATATTCAATAAAGCTTATAAGGTTATAGCCTTTACAAAGGAAAAATATATTTAAAAAAAAAAAAAGGCTCTGTTGACACTGTTATGAGGTTTTGTTTTTTCCCAAAGTGACAAAACAAATACATAAAAATGGAACACTATGGGGAAAAAAAATTTAAGTTATGCCCATATTATTTTTCCAAACTAAAATTACTGCTTATGACTCTAATGCAATCAAAAGGTACTAAAATATTAGGTATTCTTCAATGTTAGAATATCAGTTTTACTGAGTAATGATGCCTGAAAAACAAAGGAAGAGATGATCCTGATTCAGATTAGTACATTCCCTATTAACTAATTTTTCCAATTAACATTCCACAAGCACTCATTTTTATGTACTCCATAGTCTGGGAAAAATTTAAACGTTAGCGAGCCTCCAAAGTTTTTTGATCATTCACATATATTTTGGAGTCAGTACTGAGTGCTTGTTTCACAATCAACTTGTACTGTATCTCCTAGGAATTTCTACTATCAAGGATGGGTTCAACATCAGAACCAACTCCAAATCCAAGATCTCTCTGCCACAACTTAAACATCCTGCACAGCTTAGTACTCATGGAACTGCTTACAGTTTGTGCAATGCCTTTCACATCTAAATTCCTTTCCCCATTAGTTTTCTTAGAGATTTCTTCCCATTTCATTTGGGGATCCTAAATAAGGCCCCAAGATTCTATATAAATTTTGATAAATGAAAAGCAGAGCTCTGAAATATTGTACAAGTTTTGAACTTGGGAAACCAGATCATGCAGGTGCAACAGTTGACACTGAGAAAAATTAAGACCAAAAAATATCTGCTACAATAAATGGACATTATAAATAGGTTGACTAACTATGACATATGGGTGCTGATTCACTGAATAGGTACAAATCCCCCAGCTCAAGATTGACTGAAATTGCTACTAAACATACCACCAGCCGATTGTACAGTTACTTCATACATGTAGTAGCCATGGAGCAGCTTCTTTTCCTGTGTGTAAATCCTTACTGCCTGAAAATGGAAGTCACTTAGAACACCTACAAGAATGGATTAAAGAAGAATCATTGCTAAACTAATGAAAGTCAAAATATGGAAAAGGTGTGTTTTAAAACACTTGAAATTTGAGCATCTAAAGCTAAGTGCCTAATAGTCTAGAATTGTTTGTATCAGATTCTGCAGTTATGAAAGAACTTTCCACCAAAACATATTATGTCTGCAATCTATAATATCCTCCTAAGTGAAATACACAGTACATAAAGATTCCTTCATATACATAAATTTCACAACTTAAAAAAACATCAAAGTATGGTACAGTAGGTTAAAGCAACTGCTAGTGGGTAAAATCTTACTGAATTCATTTACATCTAATTATAACCTCTACAATGAGCTCTGGTAGCTAATGCCTAAGGCACTTGACTGCTAATCAGAAGGCTGGCGGTTCAAACCCACTAGTCACTCCTCAAAGGAAGATGGGGCAATCTACTTCCGTAGTGATACTGCCTCAGAAACTCAAGGAATGGTCGCTATGAGTCGGGTCTGACTCGATGGCACATAACAACAACAACAAAAACAACCACATAACCTCTACAAACAAAACAAAAAACCCTCTAACAGGATGATGCAAACAACGCACTTGGCTGCTAGCTGAAAGACTGCAGGTTTGAGCCTACCCAGAGATATCCAGAAGGTCTGTGATTTACTTCAGAAAAAAGTCACTGAAAAACTCTTTAAAACATACTTCCACTCTGACACATTAGGCCACCATAAGTTGAATCAACAACAGTAATTGATTTATACTGTCTTTAGAAAGAATTGCTCAAGGAAAAACATTCTTGATGGGGAAACTTGCCTGCCAGACATTTTCCCCAACAAAAATGAAAGTTATGATTAGATGAGCTGTGGAGTGACTATTCCCTTTTATTCTCTTTTTTCAAAATCATGTAGAACATATTCAAAATGCCTGGCCTGAGCCTCAGGGATAAAAGGAATCATGACAAGTCAGATTGCTTCATTCCCTGTTTGCTGCCCCAACTCATTTCCAAGATAACACTAGAACTGAAGCCTTATTCCTCCTTTGGCTACCATGATTCATGCTATCCAAACACAATCTCAATACCATCACTGCTTTCCCTCCCCAACCCCAGCACCAACAAAACTGGAATTAACTGAAGGTTTAAGACACAAAGGTAATTTTTTAGACAGGAAAGATCAGTAAATTCTTTGTATTTTGCTTCAAGTAAGATTATTTAGCCATATGAGGGCCACTTAAGAAAGGATACAAGTATGGTGGTATGTCATATTGTTAGGCCTGAGGCATAAAACACAAAACTGAAGGATGGCTGATGTAAGTAGAATCTGCCAGACTGGAAAGTCCCGTATGCTAATGAACCTCCTCTTTGAAAACCCCTCATTCTAATGAAGTGCTGATCCGTGCTAGCAGTTAACTGGACCCCACCTTTCTCTCGGTGTCCCCACTTAGGTCCTCTGCAAGACTATAAACCCTACCTTACCCTCCCCAGCCGGGCTCAGGGACCCGTGAACCTCGCCCAGAAGCGCAGAATAAAAACTTCTCTTTAACTCCACTTTTGCGCATCCTCTTCTCCTTGCCAAGACCTTACACATATCACATTAATATTTATAGAATCCCTTCTCAATACATATTTCTATGTTAATGGTAGCTGGAATTAAAGCAACAGAGTCCTCAGGTAAGACTACATCCAGTCCCTTTCCCCACACACCTAATTTGAATGGTCCTTGCTTAGCTTTAACTATCACATTTGTTGATGAAAAAGGTAATATACACTAGCAGTCTTCCCTATTTCAATGAGATACTGTTTTAAAGCACCACATTATGTTATAACAAAGTCTAAGAAAAATTTTCTTCTATCTCCATTTTCAGATAAACTAAAGGACTGCACCATTTAAAAAGCCTACTACCTACCAGATATGATGGTGACTTAATTCCTCTTCATGCCTATTGGCAGGAGGGGGAGATTCCACTTGTTTGCCCTGTATTCTTTGTAGACAGAATTGCTCTTCTTTTTTCCCTCCTGAGGAGCTGCAGCTGGTGTTCAGCCTCTTCAGCTAGGCTCCAGGAAATGAAGGAGGAAAACACATTCTGTGTTTTCCCCTCAGTGAGCCAAGACAAAAATGGCTACAGGAGTAGAGATTTTAACCCTGACCTTTCAAGAGTCATTCAGTGCATTAAACACACTAATAGTTCCAGTAGTCAAAAACAAAAGCAGAAACTCTAAGAACAGCTAACAAGAGTTCCTGACACTCTATCTGAGACATATCACAATGTAGTATCAGGCATTAAAAATAAGAGATCTAATTGATAATAAAATCCATTTCCCTACCAGTGAAAGCGGCAGCTAACACAACACAATCTCATGTAACAAAACCATCCTCATATCCAGGCATATGAGGTGAACATTTACATCAGGTAGATACACTCCTCAAAGCAATCGATCATGGGAGAACAGAAGGGCAGTGTTTGCACAGGGAGACAGCTCAGGGGGTGGGAATACATGGGAGAGAAGGACACAGGCAAGAGTTAACTACAGAGAAGAAGTGGGAAGAAAGCTGGCAAGAATGTGGGAAATTGCAGTCAATGTCATGAAACAAAATATGTATGAAGCGCTGTATGGAAAATGAATTTGCTCTATAAACTTTCTGCCAAATTACAATAGAAATTTAAATAAATTTAAAAATTAAAAAAAAAAAACTATCCTCACATCAAAAGTTCTGGTAGTGCAACAGATAAGGCATTTGGCTGCTAACCAGAAGGTGTCAGTGGTTCAAACACACCAGTAACTCTGCAGAAGACACATGGGGCAATCTACTTCTGTAATGATTTACTGCCTTGGAAACCCAACAGGGGTCACTATGAGTTGGAATCGACTTGATGACAGTGAACTTGTTTTGGATTATCCTTGTATCAAAGAGTATTTCCACTGCTTTGCTCTCAAGTTGCCTTTTCTTTACATATTGTAAACTCAATAGTTACAGTACATCATAATTACAAAAAGAAAAGTAGGTTTGTAAATGTTTCCTGAGGAAGACATCTATGATGCTTAATATTTTAGTAAGAACGTTACATATCAAATTCACACACAAATGGTTTTCAACAGTCATCCAGCATTCAATTCCTCACCAGTTTTTAATTTGAAACTGCAAAAGTTTAATTAAGGCCATACATAATGACAAGAAATAATTCATTAAAACTTTTATTATTGTAAATGTGCAAACTGCAAATTCAGAAAAATCTTCAAAACAGAAGGTGAGAAATGAGTTTACAACTCCTACACAGAAAGTTTAATGACAAGATATAATGGTAATTCAATAAAAGTATCATCAGTCATTATGTACTTTATTCACAACAAGCACACCATTACATAAACAATGAACTTACCAAAGAAGTCAAATGAAAATGGGTCCCTTCCACCAAAAAATTCCCTGAACACATCTTCTGGGTTACGGAATGTGAAGCCAAACTCAAATGGACCATCAAAATGACTTCCACCTATACAGACATAGCATAATTTTTAGTTTGTAAATTCCACTGTTTTGCAAAACAATTATTTGCTTAGAGAATGTTAAATAAAGCATGGCCTAAAGAGAGGAAAGTATTTCATAAATCTGAGGCTCTCTAAATCTCAAAATATGAGCTCTGCCTTGATTAACAGAACAATCTATGCCTGGGGTTAATAAAAGTATGCTTGGATTTCAAAGTTCCTGAATTTCAAAGTAGCAATCCTTTCAGTAATTACTTTTCCATCATTTTAAAACCTGTCACCATTTGATATAACACACAATAAAATAGGTATGTTATAAGGGTTTATAAAAGTAAGCATGTAAATATTCACTCATACAACTCTCCTCTATTGGTGTAGCAAAGGTTGCACCTTGGGCTGGCTGGCTGGGCATCAGATCAAGAAAGTTATTCATTCAAAAATATGCATGCCCAGGCCCTCCCCACAGGTAATTATTTTAGTTTTGTAACAGAGTTAGGACCCAGGAATCTGTTTTTTAAATTGTAAGAAATATTCTGAAACAACATCAGGTACTGATCTAGGTGTATACAGTGAAAATATAATATATTAAGTATTAAAGTAAGGTTAAAAATTGTTTCCTATCTATAGAAAGCATATTAGTATATAGTTACTAGTCTAACAATAGCTTTTAAAATGCTATCAATTTCTTCCTCCCTCCCTGCCATTCAGAACCCCACTCAGACCACTTTATCTACACTGCATCTGTATTTATTGTCACAACATACAACTCTAAGAGAACTCACTAATTTGTAATTCAGGACCAATTTAACTGATCTGTGAAGACTTTTTATCTCTAGATCATTTCCTGTCATCAATAACATCAATGCAAAAAAAAAAAAAAACCTGTATTTTAGTAACATCTACATACCTCCACCTCCACCATTTAATCCTTCTTTGCCATATTTGTCATAGATGTCCCGTTTTTTAGCTGTAATTAAAAACAAAAAGTCAATAAACTAAATAAAGTTTTTCTCCCTCAAAATTCGATAGAAAAACTCTATTTCCCAAGTTGTAAATCAATTTACAGTTGTAAGTAAGTACCAATGCATTTTTTAAATTTTTTTCAAACAATTTTTTAAAAATTTTAAAATGTGAATCAGTCATTAAAAGAAAAAAGAATTTTATGTTCCTCTCTACTTAAAAACTGTGAGAAAAGTTTTGTATTACTAATCTTTGGAAGGGAGCTCTGGTAGCATAGTGGCTAAGACACTTGCCTGCTAACCAGACGGCTGGCGGTTCAAACCCACCAGCCACTCCTCGGAAGGAAGGTTGGGCAATCCTACTTCCGTAGTGATACTGCCTCGGAAACCCAAGGAGGGGTCGCTATGAGTCGGGTTTGACTCGACGGCACATAACAACAACAACAACAATCTTTGGAAAGTTATTACAAATATTAAACTATTTATTTCACTAGATCAATTATTATTTCAATGTACCTCCTCACAGAGCCCATTAAATCACATTACTAAGTTAAAAATTATTACAACCTTGGAAATGTACTTTCTTGCTACAAAGTCCAATTCAGAGGATAAGATTCACAGCCAAAAACACAAGGCCTAGATGAACGTAGAAAGGCCAGAAAAGGAGCCAATTCTTACTCCTCTAGATTTACTCACCCTGAGTAAGCCACCAGGCATATGCAAGGCTTGATTAATTGTCCACTGATGGGTTTACGATATATATTATAGAACTTTAAAGAATACTAAAATGTAACCCTGTTTAGATGTGAGTCTTTCTGATATTATACCAGTGTGTCCCAACATTACCCCTCATATTCTACAAAAACTGCATTTAAAAATAAACAAGCAATAAAGGAACAAGACATTTAAACTACTTTCTGGTAACCAGAGACTTAATAAACATTAACTACCTTTGAAAAGAATAACAGCGCAGCTTGGGCAATAGGTGACTACGGGTACCTAAAAAACAGACCCCCTCCTTCAAAAGCAAAAAAAAACGTAAGAGCTTTTCTGGTACTTTAAAAGTTCTCTTTCTGCCAAAAAAGGTTCATCTTCATTCTCAATTTTTCTAGCATTCCTGGTACATGAAACCCATAAATTTGGGAATACTGTATCACTATGCAAGGAGATCTGGTAGCACAGTCACTAAGTCATCTGCTAACCAGAAGGTTGGTAGTTCAAACCCACTATGGAAGCCAAGACTGGGCAACCTACTTCCATAAAGATTTATCGACTCAGAAATCTAATGGGTGTTGCTAAGAGTCAGGATCAACTCAATAGCAGTGGGGTTTTTTGGGTTTTTTTTTTTGCATCACTATACAAAATATAAAGACCACTCAGGATGGTATGGTCTACAATGTCAGTTCAGCTTGAAAATCTGAACCAAGATACTCTTTAAAATTTTGCGCTATTAGCAGCTCAACTGCTTATGACTTCAAAACCCTATTTCTAAGAGATTTCAAATGTCAGTCTTAATGTGTTTAAATTTAATAATGTCTGTGTAACATTAGATGTTTGTGTAATCTTAGATGTCTAGTATTCCCTTTAAAATAATAGGAAAAGGGTTAATATATAAAGCTAGGTTGTTCACATGTTAATAACTGTTGAAGCTGGATATTATCCAGGTTATGAGGTTTGTTCCATAAACAAAACATTTTGTAAGTAATTGGCCTGTTAACTGCCTACATGCAGATACACCTGGAACTCACTCCTGTCCACTCTCTAATCAGTGCACTGTCTCTAATCTTTTAAATACCTCTGTCTTTACTCACATTATGTCATCCAGCATTGAGTCATGCCAAGGTCTTATCAGTAGTTTTTCAGTTTTCTTACAAAGTATCACACTGTTCTCCCAAAATCCATACAAAATTCTCTTCTTCAACATGAAACTGATTATATTCAGCTTACAGCTAACTCTTTAACCTGATTCAGGAAAGTAGGTGAACAGCTCTGACTTTCAGTAACATTCAAGCTCTAAACCTACTAGTGCCAAAAACTTTTCTGTAAGTTTTTAAGTCTTAATTTGTGCTGGATATTCATTTCCTAACATTCAAAACAAAATATGCATTTGTTTTAATGTGCTTTATTGTTTCATATAATTGTGAGCACATTAATAAATGGTATATACTAAGAGGAAAGGCAGCATAATAATTAGTTTCCACCAATACTAATCAGTGAGGATTTTCCAACTGCAGCTTAGCTTAGAAAAAGCATTAAAAACATTACATAATTCAAGAGTCATGTTGATTGATTCACACAGCTCTATCATTTATTATATAACTTGAGCAAATTACTCTGAGCCAATTTCCTTAACTATAAAATGAAAAGACTAAGGATCGCACTGCAGACAATTTTTAAATGGAATAGTGCATACAAAGCACTTAACACATGGCATAAAGAAACTTGTAGATACAGATTAGTTTTGTCAAGTGAATGGTAACTTCACACCACATTTATCAGCACCCCTACATCAAAACAATCAAAAAGCTTTTGCATGAAGGACCAGGTTTGATAGTCTGACAGAGCCCTATGGAACCCAAGACTGTGGCCCCTAGCTGCCCTTCAGGTCTGGAAATGAACCCATTCCTGTGGCTTCCAGACAAGCAAAAGACAGGTATATGAGCCGAACATTTATTTACATTAGGTAGATACACTCCTTGGAGAGATCAATCATAGGAGAATAGAAGGGCTATGTATGCACAGGAAGACAGCTCAGGGACAGGAGTACATGGGAGGGAAGGACACAGGGAAGAGGTAACTATGGGCAGGAAGTAGGAGGAGAGCTGCTGCATTATGGGAGATTGCAGTCAATGCCATGAGACAAAGTGTATGTGAACTGCTATATGGAAAATAAATTTGCTCTGTAAACTTTCACCCAAATCACAATAAAATAAAATTAAAAAAAAAAAGAGCTTTTGTATAACTGATTAAGAAAAGACTCCTGAGGATACCTCTACTTTGTAAACAGAGTGTCTCATCCAACTTTAAATATTCCTAGGTATCTTTTTGGCATATGTAAGAAACACGACCTAATCTTTAAGTACTCCTATCTTTTTTGGAAGGAGGAAGATGTATGTGCACCCAAATAAATGATAAAATTATAATAAGTTTCAACTTAAAACTGCTAGTCCTTCCAATTCTACTTTCCATATGTAAGGACTTAATCCAAATTATAGCATTAGAGTATAAACAGAGTAATGTTCCACTTTAACTATTTCATGTAGTATGTATAAACAGCAGAATTTTACAGGGTCTACAACAGTCATTCTGATCCTCTTCATCCCCAGTGCTCTATTTGAATTAACTTGCTTAAAAATAGTACCTTGCCTTTATTGTGATTTTTACTACTACTACTGCTGCTACTGTAAAGCACTGTCTTTATGTAGAAATACATAAAGCTTTATGTCTTAATATAGAGAATTATTTTATTAAACCCTAGGAAAGGCTTTTCTAAGAAAAGATTATTAAAATGAGAAAAGTTCTTCCAGCATAGAGTCCCAAACACTTTTCTAGGTATTATGTGCATGGCAGTTCATTTTGTTCTTACAACCTCCATGTAATGAACACATCCTGCACATGATGTTATAGTTTCTATTCTGTAAGTTAAAAGAACAGAGGTGACAGAGGCTATATCAATACTTAAGTTTACAAAGTTGGCACATTCAAGGTGTTCTCTAGTTTATCAGTAGCTTTGAAAAGAGCTTTGCTGCTGGCTGATTCTGTGAGAACTTTTGACTGTGCATAATGGTGAAGGACCCTGTGTTAGAAAGATATTCAAAACAAGTGCATCCCATAGGCAATCAGCATGGACTTCTACAGACCTACCAAGTTGTGTTTTTGTTGAAATCTTTTATTTCCCATTTTGTGTCACTGATGACTATGTAATATAGAATTAAACTGAGAAGGGGTTTAAAGTAGAATCTTCTGGTGTTGAGATACTCAAACAGAACTAGATCTATTTCTGCACATATGTTTAAACTCCTACTATAATCTAATTAAAGAGCTCTGGTAACACAGTGACTAAGGTATCTGGCTGCTAACCAGAAGGCTGGTGGTTCAAACCCAATCAGGCACTCTGCAGAAGCAAGACTAAGCAATCTACTTCTGTAAAGATTTACTGCCTCAGAAACCCAATGAGGGTCACTATGAGTCAGAATCAACTTGATGGCAGCGGGTTTGTTTTGTTTTTTGTAATCTAATTAAAAGGTCTCTACAAATAGATGACAGGTTTAATTGCCTCCATAAACTATTACATCTGTTATCATGAAACCAGAGAAAAATGGATGATGCCCAGCTACCATTACTGAACATTTTGACCAAGGACTCAATATATGGATACTGATCAAAAAGTGGAAAACCATGGAACAGGACTTCAAACTCATATGGAAACCAGATTTACTGGATCCAGAGACTAGCGGAACACTAAATCTAATGCATGAAAATAATTTTTAAACCCTGAGCCAAAACTATCCAATGAAGCTATCATTAGACAACAATTTTGCCCATTTAGTAAAGAAACATTTATCTGAAGAATAGCACTCTTATAAAGAACTATCTATTATAAAGGAGCTCTGGTAGCATAGTGCCTTAAGGCATCTGACTGCTAACCAGAAGGTTGGTGGTTTAAGCCCACCAGCCACTCCGTGGAATTAAAACTGGGCAATCTACTTCAGTAAAGATTTACTGCCTCAGAAACCCAATGGGGGTTGCTATGAGTCAGAATCTACTTGAGGGCAATGGGTTTGTTTTTTTTTGGTTTACTATGAGTACAAACTGACAAAAGTTAATCTCCAAAAGCACAGATGAGAACTTTAAGGGGCAGAGAGCCTAAATTAATGGTGAGGAAACAATACAGGTAGAAACAAAATGTGAAGTATGTAACCAATGAGATTGTTTATGTAGAAATTATGAATGAATGTACTTTTGGCTATGTATATGGCCACCGCAGTGTAGTAAATTGCCTGGTATGGCTTTTCTAGCCATAACTCTTTTTACAAAGATTCTCCATGGTGGAATTTGCTGTGAGCAACTAAGGAGCTCCTGATTGTAAATGTTATCCACCTGGGGTATTTCTGTTGGGAGTGGCACAAAGCAATGTTCTGGGAAGCTGGGAAGTTCGCTCTCTCTCTCAGGTACTTAGAATTCTAATGTTATGATCAGCTAGTTTGGCCCCTCTACCAGTCTCAAAATGAGGCCTCCTAGAAGCAGAAATCTCTCTGACTGCTGGCTGAGAAAGATATGTTGCTGAGAGAAACATGCTCCTGAGAGACACAGGTTGCTGAGAAACAGACACTGAGAGACATGCACCGCTGGGATAGAGACTGAGATAGACTGTTGGCTGAGAGACGGCGGGCTGAGAGGGACTGAGCGTTTTTCCTGAACTTAAATTGTAGCCTGGTGCTTCCCTAATAAACCCCATAATCTGTGAGTTCCGTGTGGCCCCTGCAGTGAATTATCGAACTCAGCAGAAAGGTGGTGAGTGCTGCGGAAGGAATGGTTGGTGTCAGAGCTGGTGAAAGGGCTGGAGAGAGGCAGCATGTCTGGCCTCGTATGAACAGGCCTTGGGCTACTGATGGTTATTCTATCTTCCTCTTGTGCGGTTAGAGGAGGTGAGAAGATGTGGCCTCCTTGTCTTTTTAACAGCCACCATAAATAAATTACAATTTTAAAAATAAACTAAAAGGTCATACTTACTTCCCAGGGAGTATTTTTTTAAAAGCCTATTCATTTTTCCAAAGTATGAGTTAGGTCAGGAGTATCAAAAGAAGTCTAGGTTAAAGGTTAATAAGACATGTCTCATGACTTCACTTTATCTTGTGTTGTTAAGTACACATGGCTGAAGCTCAAAGAAGTGGAGGAACTTAGTGAAGGCAAGGAGGTAGAGTTGAGATTAATGTTCCCAAAAACCTTTCTACCATGTCACCACTGCAGCATAGGGTTTTGTTGTTGTTGTTTTTGTTTTTCAGGGCTTTCCTCATCTTCCAACTCCTTCTTACTTTATCAACTCTCTTAACTACTTGCGTCCTTGGTCTTATCAGTAGTCTTAGAATAATACATCTTGTTAAAACACACTAGTCATCATCTTCTTATAACCTCTGACAATATATAAAAATTTCAGACTGACAATAATTGAAGTTTGTTACAAAGTAATAATGACCCATTTTATGATATATGATATAAATTTGGTTATATTATCACATCCACGCACACTTATTTTATTAGGGAAAATGGAAAAATAGAGAAAACCTGTGAAAATAAGTTTAATATTTAAGGTTCTTGATGCTTAGTAGCTGTACTAATTTCCTTTGGATAAATGTTTATGGATGATCATTTACCTAGCAATAATGCCATAAATGCAATTCAATGAGTACTTCTAAATATAAACTGAAAACCAAGTATGTACTACACCAGTGGAGATCAAGAGAGCCCTTTCAAGTAGTTTAAAAAAAAATCACTGCATTAGAAAGGTATTAAGTAGGGTAATAGTAATGAGTGGGGAGTGTTAGGGGACCACCACAGACATGAACAGTGACAGAAAGCTTCATGTGGTCTTATTCCTCAAAACCTGGGATATCCAATACTATTTTAAAATACCCATCATGAGAGAAATTGCTGGAAACCAAATTGCTCCACAACATTCATACTTAAGGGTTTCAAATAGCTGACATAAACATGAGACTCAAATCTTTCATTAAAAAAAAAAAAAAAAACACCAAACAATTAAGCTTTCTGATTATCTGTGATCCCAAAATCCAACTGGTGAGGGAAATCGTTTTGGTACATGCTCTGCTAGTTTTGAGGATGATTCTAGTACTTTTCCTTCTCATCAACCCATTGAGAGCCTTTAAAAAGTTCAACATTACTTACCATCTGATAATACCTCATATGCCTCAGCTACTTGTTTGAATTTTCTCTCTGCTTCTTCCTTGTTTTCAGGATTTTTATCAGGATGCCACTTCAGTGCCAACTTACGGTATCTAAAAAGAGTAGAGATGACATTCAAACTCTGAAATCAACTGGGCTTCTGAAACTAATAGAATTAAGCAATAAAAAATGGTTTCAGAGCTGCAAGGAGGTGATATTAATATTAGCTTTAATTGTAAAATCTCCCTTTCCCCAAAAATAAACAAACTCTAAATTCCAGATTGCAAACGTGACACAGCAAAACAAACAAACACTCTAGAGACAGAAAAAATGTTAAGATGCTTGAGGAGAAAAATGTCCACATGAACTCAGTGGTGATTAAGCTAAGAAAATATATGGAGAAATGGCCTTTATAACTGAGCAGTAAGTATCCAATCATAATCAACCTCATCTTACTTCCTGATTTCCAGGAATGTATTTCCTAATGTAGCCCCTTTATTTAATACTCTATTGTCAAATGTAAACTAACATCCATAGTACTGTCAAAAAGTCATCTGCTTCGGATTCAATAAGACTCATTAAACATCTAAAAGTGTTAAAACACTAACTTCTGCTAATCTCCTGTGACTAAGGTCATAAGATTTCAATATAACACAGCAATTAAATGCCTTGCAAATACAAAAAGCCCTCTACTACTAATTAGCAAATCTGAAGCCATATACACTTGGGGGGGGGGCATAAAAAGGGGAAAGGCCGTGCTCAGACCATCTCTGTAACACTTGGCAAGTTATTAATGTAAAGTTATGGGTTCGATTTCAACATTTTAAAGCAAAACTTTGGGTTCTAAAAGAAGTTACACTAACATCTGACTAAAGCTGGAATCCTTTTATGGTAAAACAGTATTTTATTCTTATATCATAGCACATCAATACATGTAGCAGTAAACCAAATCCCTAATAGTGCCATGAATTCTCAACAAAAATGACAAACACAAAAGACTAAAGACAAAAAGAATAATTGATTTGCACAAGTACCGATCATCTTGTGTCATCACGTGAAAATTAAGACATACACGAGATTCTAAGACAAGTTTCAATTGTAAATGCCCCTTGTGGTAGACTACTAAAAAAATTTAAAACCAAGGAATATAAAATATATTACAGTAAGTATAAAAATATCAAATGCCTTTTAAAGACTTAAAAGTTTTGACTAGATGCCAGTACTTTAGCATCAAGGAGAGAACAAACACTACTACTCAAATGGAGAGAAAGCACATGATCTGTGATTCAAATTCAGTGTCTCTGAAATAAGAGACTTATAGCCTTAGGACGTCCTCAAAGTTTTGTTTGTCACCATACTAACAAAACTATTCTAATATTACACACAACCACATGTCTATAATTTTGCTCATTTCTAAAAAGACTAAATCACTATTTAAGCAACTGTATGTATGCTTATAAGAAAACTTTGCCCCTTTTAAAGTTTTCTTCTAAATTCATACTTCACAGCCATCCTGAAGACCATGAATAACCTATATGCTCTCACAGCTAACTAAAACTAATCTACTTTCTGATTATCACTATCATAACTGAAGGCATGTTATACAGCATTTAATAGAAGTATTATTGCACACGTATTTACTCATTCATTTACTTAAGAACAGTAAAATTTTGCAACTGTCTCTCTGTCATACAACCTACAATGCTGTTAACAGTCATTAACTGTTTTAAGTTAGTAAGAACAATGTAGACCTGAAGTATGCATCAGCTCCCTGGCGGTGGGGGGTGGGGGGAGTGCCAACAGTTTAAAGAAGCTGCTAAATCAAAGGTTGGCAGTTTGATTCCACCCAAAGGCAACTCGGAAGAAATGCCTGACAATCTACTTCTGAAAAAGTAGTCACTGAAAACCCTATGGAACACAATTCTACTGAAACACATGGTGTGACAATGAGTCAGAACTGACATGATAGCAGCAACTGGTTTTAAAGTATACAACACAAGCAATTTTGTGTAAGAGAACCCCAAACTCCACCAGTGACATAAGCACTTATCTATTTACTGTACTATCTTGACCTCTCATGAATGACCTATTCCTAATTAGTTCCTTGGCTAAGGTTAGAAACAGGGCTATCCAACAAAGAAATCATCCTAAATTAGCATTTTTTTTTCAAGGAACCATTTGATTTAAAAAAAAAAAAAAAAACTTTATTTCCATGTACAAATCAACATTTTGTGTTATTAAGCCTAAAAACATAAATTCCACTATGTACTATAATTCAGGGGGAAAAAAAAGTTGGTTCCTCCAACATATACTAAAACCTAATTTCAAATTCTTCACACTTACTAGTCTCTCTAGCTATGGTAAAATCTGTAAAATATAAGTTATAAACTTTTTACCATATACAGGCAGTCCTCAGATTACAATTTAGTTCTATTCCTAAATACGTCTTTAAGTCAAATTTGTATGTTAAGTTGGAACGGTTAGGTATAGTTCATATCTAATGTCAAATGCTTGCCTTAGTATATAGCGTACCTACCTAAGCATAAAAACCATTAAAGATAGACTAAAACATTTTAAATATAATTCAGTAATAATAATGTTTTGTTGCTCATCACAAAGCAGTGCTTGTTTATTATGACAAATCATTCTATGTACCTGAAATTTTTAATATTACAGGCTTTACAGTATTTGGTTTCTAACTATAGTTGTATGTAAGTCAGACGCTCATAACCTGAGGACTGCTTATACTCACTCTACATTCATCCTTAACATCTAAATAAACAGATCCAAGTCATCCTGAAAGCTAGACAATTTACAAATTATTCTGCCCCCCCCCCCGGATTTGCCCCTCCTCATCAGAGAAGCCCTGGTAAGATTAAGATGAAATAGGCAATGAAGTAGTTCTCAGACTAATCTGAACCAGAATTGATTCAAATGGTCTAGGATGCAGCCCAGCAACTTGGAAGTTACGATGTCACACTCTGGGCCCATACTACAGAAAAGTGTGCTTACAAGTACCAAGTTAACTGCATTTCAAAATCCAATGCAAAGGTTCTTTTGCCTTATTTCATATGATTGGTAATTTTTTTTTTAAATCTTCTTCAAGTAGAAATAGAATCCACCAGCAAAGTAAATAGAATCCAAAGGCAAAGTAACAGAGTAAACCATTAAAGGGTTATGTCTACGTTTGAGAATGCCAAGTGTTAATTTATGAATGCTGTTAAAGTTAAAATTAAACATGCAGCATTAAAAGGCTGTTACATTAAAGGTCATTTAGTAGGCAATATACAAAATTACACTATCCAATTACCACTGTAAAATTGTAAAGCTTTATTATCTCAAGAAAAAGATTACTTACGCCTTTTTAATATCCTCAGGTGAGGCATGTCTCTGCACACCTAGAACTTCATAGTAATCCACCATGTTTTAACAGATTGTTGGAACAAGTCCTGTAATTAAAAATCTTTGGTCAATGACAAGATTGCCAAGATTCAGTATCAGTGGGGGATGGGAACAAGGCAGGAAATGGAAGAGGGGGGAGGCAGTCATCACACCTCAGTACATATTAACCCTACATGACACATACAATTTTTGGCCTTGTCTGAGAATAGGTTCCAGGACTCATGCTCTAAACCTCTTCTAGATACAGAAGGAAAAAACAGTCCCCAAATAGCCTAATAATAGCCTAAACTCAGTAAAAGTAACAGGTGACTCCAAGGCAGAGGGACTCACTGCCTAGTTGATCACTGACTAACAGGCTCATTTTGAGGATCTTGTTTTCCTAGACACAGGCTGTATTCAGGGATCTTCAGTTACCTCATCCAATGTATTCCATGTGCCAGGTATTATGCAACAAGAGTGAACATACTGTCCCTGCCCTCAAGAAACTTAACATGGGAACAACAAAAAGACACTCTTCAGATTTCTGTAGCTCTCACTACCCAAACAGCAAAAGCCTTCCCACAGGCACTCCACCAACCCCCTGCCTTTGTCTTCCTGGGAGAGAAAATGGAAATCTGACTATAGGACTAATTGAGTAATTTTACCCTCTGGCTCAAATTCCCCACCCATTTATTAAACAAAAACAGTATTTTCCTGTTGTCAATACTAATTACAAATTATTACTACAGATAATGCCGTCTTCAGTGGACAACTAGCAACAGAAATTCTGCTTCAACTCCGCTAGGTTAAGTTGATTCTTACTTCACAGGATAATACAATGAAAAGCAATCTGCTTTCACCACTTACAGACTGTAGCCTCTGATCCCATAAACCAAACAGGAACTACACACATGCTGTTGCTTTCAGTGTTGGCAAATGGTGGCAGCAGTATTAAGATGTAAGGTCTAACCCATTTACTTCTTTACATCTGACAAAACACTGTAAAAACAGGTCTACTGCATGCAACAGTGTACGATAACGTCATCTAATAAATCAAGTTTTTCCATAAACCCACTTGGTCAAAACTGAAGTTAAGCTTTTCAGAAGCCCTTCCAGAAATCCTGGTTTTGGGTATTTTCAAATGAAATATTTTGATTAGAAAATAACACGAGATCATATACCCATTCTTAGGTAAATATACCATGTTGCTGAGGCTGAATGATGGTTGAGGCTGAGGCCAAAAATATGAATTATTCCATTTTGTATAAAAAGATGCAGAGTTTTACTATAATTATACTTTACAGATTTGGGAAGCTATCTGTGGTAAGAAATAAATTTTATATCATGACTGAGAACATGTGTGTGTATATTTCTGCCTGTGCAACACATTTATTGAGTAATGACTATAAAAAGAGTTATGAATAAACATGTATAGATTAAGTCTGCTTGTTACCAATACAGGAGCATGTGAATTTCTGTTAATAGTGGTGATGGTTTCACAACATGATGAACATAGTCAATGGCACTGAACTGAACCTGTGAAACATGCTGAATTAGTAAATGTCTTATTATATATTCCTTTACAATAATAAAACAACTTTAAAAAGAGAGAAAGAGCTCAGGTGCCAGAATCAAACACGGAAGGCTTGCTTTCCAGACACAGGAAACTAAGATTCCTATGTTAATTCTGATGCATCAAAATTTATGACGCTGTTAGAGTTGTTGGACTTGTGGACTTGGGACTCATGATTGCAGAAGAATGAAACTCAAATGGCATAACATGCTACACAAAAATATTGTTCTACATCCTACTTTGGTAAGTAATGACTTGGATCTTAAAAGCTTTTAAGTGGCCATCTAGATGCAACAACAGGTCTCTCCTCTTCTGAAGCAAAGAAGAATGAAGAAAACCAAAGATGCATAGAAACAATCAGCTCAAGAAACTACTGGACCATGTGAACTACAGCCTACATGATCATGAGACCAGAACTATGGTGCCCAGCTACCACTGTCAACCACTCAGAAAGGGATCAATACAGGACACCCTGAGTGGGAGAAAAATGTGGAATAAAACTTACAGTCATAGAAAAGATCGGGCTTACTGGTCTGATAGAGACTGATGAAACCCTGGAGACCACGGCCCCCAGTTATCCTTCAGGCCTGGAACTGAATTCCCTTAACTCTCGGCCAAACAACAGACAAGCATATACCGTGAATATTTATACCAGGTAGGTACGCTCCTTAAAACGATAAACCATGGGCGATCAGAAGGGCAGTATATGCACAGGGAGACAGCTGAGAGGGCAGGAATGCCTATGAATGGACTACACAGGAAAAAGGTAACCTCAGGAAAGAAGAGGGACGACAGCTGTTACATTGCTGACAGCTGTTACATTACGGGGATTGAAGTGAATGTCATGAAACAAAATGTGTATGAACTGCTGCATGAAAAATGAATTTGCTCTATAAATTTTCACCCAAATCATGGGAAAAAAAAAATTTACAAGGCTGTAACTCTGAAAAAGAGACAAGAAAAACTCTTCCCACTGAACCCATGAAAGAGAGGTAGAAGCAGCAAGCCTGGGTACTCAAAGCCCTAAAAGCAAAACTGACCACGTATTATTTATAACCTGCCTTGCCCTATAATGCTCCAAGCTCTACAAAATTAACAAATATTAATCCCAGGACAGTGAAGCAAACAAAGTTGCATACAAGAAATATTTCTACAACACATGTCAGAGATTTCCACAGAAAACACAACTCCTGCCAAAGAAAAGCTCATAATTAAATTCCAAATACAAGGAAATAATTCAGGATGCACAAGTTACAACACTGCCCCCACCGAAAAAACTGAAATAACATGAAAGAAAAATGAAATATGCATACAATAATCAAGTTAAATAAATTTCCAGGATGGCTGACAATTTGCTCAAACGCAAATGACCCAAAATAGTAATTATTATCACTATTATTACTAATTGGAGCTCTGGTGGTGTATTGCCTAAGGCATTTGACTGCTAACCAGAAGAATGGTGGTTCAAACCCACCAGCCACTCCTCGGAAAAAAGACCAGGCAATCTAGCCTCAGAAACCCAAGGTGTCGCTATGAGTCAAATGACAGCAGTGAGTTTGTTATTTTTTAATTATTACTATTATTACTAACATAGCCATTGGAATTTTAAAATAAGTTAAACATAGCTATAAAGGGTGTTTTCATACTATGGTAGCTTGTGCACTGCTATGATGCTGGAAGATATGCTATCAGTAATTCAAAGTATGTCATCAACAGGTCACCCATGGTGAACAGATTTTAGCAGAGATTCTAGATTCAGACAGACTACAAAGAAAGGTCCAGCAATCTACTTCCAAAAACTGGCCAATGAAAGCCTTATAAGACCACAACAGGCTATTGTCCAATATAGTGCTGGAAGATAACCCTCCTAGATTAGAAGAACTACACAACAGATGCAACAGATTCAAATACACCAATATCATGAAGATAACACAGGACAGGGCAATGTATGATTCTGTTATACATAAGGTTGCTTTGATTTGAAGCTGACATCAAATCATCTAGTATAGCACATAAGACTACTGAGACATGGAAACAAAATCAGAAGGCTCAACATAAACCCAAAGAAAAACAGTAGAAAAGACCAGAGAGATGTTATTAACTGCCATCAAGTTGACCTCAATTCATGGTGACCCCATCATGACAGAACTAACTACTACTCAGTCCTGTGCCATCAAGTATCCACTGGCTGATTTTCCTAAGTATATCACCTTTCTTCCTAGTCTTATATGAGAACCAGACTCACTGCCTTTAAGACGATTCTTGACTCATAGCAAACTCCATTGGGTTTCCAAGGCAGTAAATCTTTATAGAAGTAGACTTCCTCCATCTTCCTTCTGCAGAGCAACTGGTGGATCTGAACTGCCAACCTTCCTGTTAGCAACCAAATGCCTCAGATACTGTGCCACCAAAGCTCCTTCCTAGTCAATATAGAGAGGTGACACTCAAATTAGCTAGCTAAAAATGTTCCAGAATTGATGAAAGGTACAAATATACAGATTCAAGGGGAAAGAATGTCAGACACTTTAATTTAAAAAAAAAAAAAAAAAAAACTTTTAACAACTGAAACCAGAAACCAAAGGAAAGGAAGATCTTTGAAAGTAAAAAGGAAAGTATCAACCTAGAACTATCTGCAGCTAAATTATCATTCAAGAGTAAGGTCAAATTGGTATTTTAAGATAAACAAAGTTTACTGAAAGAACTATTTCTTAAGAGTGTAATTTAGTAAGCAAAAACTAATGGTCAGCAAACAAAAGACAGGCATATGAATTGACCACTTACATTAGGTAGATCCACTCCTTGGAGATATCAATCACAGGAAAATAAAAGGGCTGTGTATGCATAGGAAGACAGCTGGGAGGAAAGGAGTGCATGGGAGGGAAGGACACAGGGAAGAGTTACTATGGGGATGAAGTGGAAAGAGAGCTGTCACATTGTGGGAAATTGCACTAAATGGCATGAGACAAAGTATATGTGAGCTGCTGTTATGGAAAGTGAATTTCTCTGTGAACTTCCACTCAAATCACAGTAAAAATTAAAAAAAAAAAAAAAAACACTAATGGTTAGCCTAAGAGATAAGTAAGCCTAAATAGCCACTGTTGTCTTCAAAGTGATTTTTCAAAGTGATAAATAATTATGATCAACTTGGGGAGGTTATAAAGTAAGATTCAAAACAGTTCCAGGAATTTAAAAATAGGATGGGATCACAATGAAGGCTGGAACATATATAAAGCAAAAACCTATGAAGAGAAGGAAAATTCAAATATTTTTCAGTAAAACAAGCCATAAATAAATGATAAAGACTGCACCCTGTCAAGGGTGGAAGGCTTGTTCTTATGTTACTTGGGAAGCAGCAGGTAAAGCTAATAGGCATGCTAAAAACATAAGGATAAATACTAAGAGAAAACGAAATGGATACTTAACCTCCCTATCAGAAAAGGAGAAAGGGAGGCAGACAAACTAGGGGATTATAAAAAGCACAAATTCTAAGTACTCT